TCACTGCAGCAGCCCTGTCCCTCTGCCAGGGCAGCTCTGCCTGCGCCCGGCTCCCAGACTTCCCCTTCTGCACCCTCGGGCCCTCCCGGGCTGTGTGCTCGCACAGAGCTGGAGCCACAAGGGAAGGCAGGAAGCTGCAGGGCTGCTGTTGTGTCCTGCAGGAAGGTCTACGAGTTCCTGAGCACCTTCATTGTCACAGGGATGCGCTTCCTCCTCAGCCAGCAGGTACAGCTCGGTGCACACAGGCGATGGGAGACCCCAGCCTTGCCCTGCCCCGCAGCAGCAGGAGGGTTGGGTCCTCATCCAGACCCCTTAGCTCAGCTCCTTGCCTTTCAGATCTGCCCGTCGCTGGAGCATGCCAGCCTGGTGCTGCTCAACTCCGTGCTGGACACGGTGCCGGGTGAGTGTCGCTGGGGCAAGGAACTGGTGCTGGGCATCGGGCTGCCTGCGGGCACAGTGACAGCAGCACATCCTCCCGGCAGTGAGGAACTATGTGGATGAGCATATTGGGATTGACTACTCCCTCCTGCGGGATCCGGCTGTCTCCATGGACACTCTTGACCTAGACTTCAAGGTGAAGGCTGGATCCTGCCCTGCTGAGAGCGGCTGGGGCGGCTGTGGGCTGGGGCCCACGGACCAAAAAAGCTTGGGCGCTGGGCACCACGGAGCAGCCGGGGCTGTGCTACAGCTACAGAAACCTCTCCTGTTCTTGGCCCAGGGCATGTTCTTCCCACGTGCAAAAGAGAACCAGGAGCTGGAGAACCACGCGGTGGAGCCGGTGATCAAGGAGACCGAGCGCATGGTCTATGTTGCCTTCTCCGAGTACTTCTTCGACTCGGCCATGCATGCGTACTTCCAGGCGGGTGTGCTGGCCATCGAGCTCCAGGGGGAGAAGGTAAAGCAGTGCGGGACACCCGGCTACACCAGGCAGCTTTCTGCGGGGAGGCAGGGCTGGGCTTTGCCCACAGCGCAGATGAGGGAGCAGCTCTGCTGGGTCAGCAGTGACTGCTTGGTCACCCTTGGGTGGTTCGTCCTCCCTGCAGGTGCCCAAGGACCTGGATGTTTTGCTGAGAGCCACCTTCTTCGGGACCATCTTCATGCTGGTGAGAGGAGCACGTGGCCGGGGAGGAGGCATGGGGCAGAGCCCGGCCCCGCTCCCTGCCTGTGGCTCACCTGCCTTCCTTAGAGACCCACTGTGGATGCACGCTGCGGCTGGTGCTGCAGGTCTCAGCTCCCCCCCGCTGCATCATCAAACCCTCTGGCACCTCTGTCTCCGTCTCTGCCTTCCTCAACATCTCACTGGTGCCGCCGGGCCGCCCAGCTGTGCAGCTCTCCAGCATGGCCATGGTGAGCG